ATAATGAACAACATAAGGGATGTCAGGATGTTTGTTCGTGAGATAAATGAGGCGCCCAATCAAACGACGAAAAACAGTGGGATCCTCAAGCGATTGGCCTTCAGAGGAGCCTTTTGTAGAGAAATTCATGGGTGTACTAACAGGGGTAGCATCAAGCATCCCAGTTTCTTTAAGAAGATCCAATGCATATTTGCGTTGTGAAAGGTGAATTCCTGCAGAGTTGCGAGCAACCTCGAAACCCAAAAAGTAAGACAAGTTACCCATGTTTTTTATTTTGAATTGCTTATTTAGGAGATGAGTGATATGATCAATAGCAAGCATATTATTGCCAGTAAGAATGATGTCGTCAATGTAAATTAAAAGGATGGTGTTGGTGTTACCTTTATGGGAAGTAAATAAAGAATGATCACTAGATGTTTGAGTAAATTCATGAGAGATAATAAAAGAGGAGAGCTTTTCATACCATTGTCGGCTTGCTTGTTTTAGGCCATAGAGTGATTTATGTAGGAGACAAACTTGGTTAGGATTAGAGAGAATGAGTCCCCGTGGTGGTTGCATGCAGACTTCCTCATGTAAATCTTCATGTAAAAAGGCATTGTTAACGTCTAGTTGCCTTAGATTCCAATTCTTTGTAGCCACTAATGAGAGGATTAACCGAATAGTTGTGAATTTGGCAATTGGTGAGAAGGTGTCGAAATAATCAATACCTTCCAATTATGTATATCCTTTGACAACAAGACGAGCCTTGAATCTATCAATGGTGTTGTCGGCTTTGTGCTTGGTCTTATGAACCCATTTACAACCTATTGCTCTCTTGTGGGAAGGAAGAGTAGTGAGAGTCCAAGTCTTATTGTGGTCAAGAGCAACGAGTTCAGCTTGCATAACATCACGCCAATGTCCATGTTGGATGGCTTCTTTATAGTCAATAGGATCATGGATGCTGTCTATAGAAGAAATAAAATGTCTATATGTAGGAGATAATTTATCAAAACTAAGCACATGCTCAATAGGATATTTGTTATTAAGAGTACTATAAGATGATATTTGAAAATCTTTAAGGTAATCAAACATAGTTATAGTGCGAGTAGACCGCCTAGCAGAAATAAAAGTATTGTCTAAACGCTCTTCATTGTTAAGAGAAGAAGAATTATGAGGGCCAGGGGGAGTGAGCTGATCATTATCATGCATAATGTTGTTATGATGTAAAGGTAAAGGTAAAGCAGAATGTGATGAAGTATTGGATGCCATGTCAGGAAATTCATTTTCATAGAAAACAAAATTTCTAGATATTTGAATGTCATTAGTTGCAAGACTATATGTTATGTATCCTTTAGTGGTGGGATGAAGACCAAGGAAAAGACCAGCAGTAGCACGCGGATCAAGTTTCTTTCTATGAGATTGAAGAGTGTTGGTGTAGCAGAGACAACCAAAAACTTTAAGTCTAGTGATATCAAAAGCTGTGTTATAAAGTTTGTCATGTGGAGAGTCGTTATTGAGAAGGGGAGTAGGCATGATATTTATGAGAAGAGTGGCATAATTAAGTGCATATGTCCAAAATTGGTTAGAAAGTTTTGAATGAAAAAGTAAAGCCCTGGTGACATTTAAAAAGTGTTGGTGTTTTCTTTCAACAATCCCATTTTGTTGAGGAGTTTCATTACAAGAGGTTTGGTGGATAATCTCTTGAGAACTAAAATAATCATGCATAGCAAATTCAGGCCCATTATCAGATCTTATGATTTTAATAGTGGTTTGAAACTGGTTTTTAACATAAGATATGAAATGCAGAATGTGATTTCTTATTTCAGATTTGGCATGCATTAAATGAACCCATGTGTATCTAGTATGATCATCAACAATTGTTAAAAAATATCGATGAGAGTGAATGGATGCATTGAAGCAGGGTCCCCAAATATCTATATGTATAATATCAAAAGCATGTAAAGCAATAGAGTTATGAGCAGTAAAGGGTAATTTCTTTTGTTTGGAAATGTGAAAGGCATTACAATTGTCTGATTTATAGTCAATGCACGGATATTTTTGTTTAAGAACCTCCAATCTCTTATCAGATAAATGGCCCAAGCGGTTGTGCCAAATGTTGTTGTTGATAGCAAGGAGTGATTTTTGTGAACTGACAGAGTGCACACAAGGAGCAACGTGAAGGACATACAGACCTGCTTGAAGATTAGCTAAACCAATCTTGTGGTGTGTTGTTAAGTCCTGGATAAAACATTGGGAATTAGTGAAGGTCATGTAAACATTATTATGCAAAACCATTTTGGATATAGAGATGAGATTATAGGAGAAATCTGGAATGTAAAGAACATCAGTTAGGCAAAGTATATCATAAAGTTTTATGTTTCCTTTATGAGTTGCTTTAGTGGTGATGTCATTGGGAAGATTAATAGTGACATACAAAATTTTATCATAGGAATGAAAGTGCTTGAGGGAGGAAACAACATGGTTAGTAGCACCATAGTCTAAAATCCATGTTGTGATACCTGTTGCTGTAGCACTGTCAAAAGTTAAAATGGTTTTACCTGGGTCTTGAGAACTAGATATCATGGAACCGATTTGGGGGTTGGAGGCATTGTCCGCAGTAGGGTTGATGAGAACTATGAGGGCCTGATATTATTGCTTTGTAAGGTGCACTTCAGGGTCAGAATTGTCTCCTGGACTGTTAGTGATAGGTTCTTGGCTTCTTGAGAGGAGACTTTTACCATTGTAGAATGTGTGTCCGGGTGGGTAACCATGTTTCCTATAGCAAACATCAACTGTATGTCCAGTGTTACCATAGTGAGAGCAAGATTTCTTGTTTGGAATGGGTTTTGCAAGAAACCCATGTTTCTTGAAACACACAGAGTCAGTGTGGCCATTCTTGCCACAAAAAGAACAAACAACAATGCCTATAGTAGCATTGATAGTTTTGGGTTCAATGATATTTAGGAAATTATTGTTCATTAACTGTTCTCTCCTATTGCATGACATAGGAAAAAATCTCCGAAATGGGGGTATAGGATCCAGTAAGAGAACATGAGATTGGATATTACCATACTGCTCATTCAGGCCACGAAGGAATTGCAATGCTCGGTCTTCATGTTTCCTTTGCGAAATCGTTGAAAGCATTTTGCAAGAACACTGGACGTCACAGGTGCATGTTGGATCAAGGCAAAAATTCTCCAGCTCATCCCATATGATGCGCAATTTAGTGTAAAACTCACTGACAGTGGATGTTCCTTGCTTCAGGAAGGAGGCATCTCTTTGCAGCTCGGAGATGCACAACAAATCTCCCTGGAAGAATCTTGATTTGAGATCTTTCCAAATTGCTTGAGCATCTTCCATCCAAAGAATGCTATGCCTGATTTTTGGTGACACCAAGTGGACCAACCAAGAAACCACCATGTTGTTGCATCTTTTCCAGGCGTTGTGAGAGGAATCTCCACGAGGTGGCTCTTCAGCAGTTCCATCAATGAATTGAGATTTGTTCTTGGCGCTCAACGCAGTCACCATGGACTTGCTCCATGCGTGATAATTGGTTGAATCAAGAAGCGGTGAGACCAAGGAGGTGGCTGGACTCTCGCTGGGGTGAAGATACAAAAAGCTTGAAGGCCGATTATGTTCGTCAGCCATGGCAGAAAAGTAAAAAAGAGAAGAAGGAAAACCCTCAAGAAAGCGAAATAAGAAAAAGTAGAAACCAGAGTCTAATGCGCGCAGCAGAGCTCTTCAACCCCACAAAATCGGCTTGTAGGGTGAGGTTTGCACCCACTTATAAACTATGAATTAGCCTTATCTCTAGTCGATGTGGGATTTCCAACACATTCCCTTCACGCCGAGGTATAAACATCTCGTGCATGATAGTAGAAATTGGGTGGTCCGATAACGGCCCGATAGCTGGTGGAATAAGAATACCCACTTAGAACTCGCTAGGATAGACTCTAACTATAACTCTGATACCATCATAGAGGTACCCCGATAATGAGAGGCAAAATATTGTCTTCATATTCATACTCACAGAGAAAAGTATTGAAAGCCATGAAGAAGAGAAAACGTGTATATTTCTAATGAATGTAGGAATAGTTACAAAAAGATATGAGCCAATGCCTATATATATACAACAGAAAGGAAAATAACAGGAAGCGGTTGAGCAGTGAAACGGTGGTAGTTAGGATTGAGATCTGACAGTTAAGCGGTAAAAGATTGGACCGATTGGTGAAAGGTAGACCCAAGTGATGGAATGGAGAACCAAGCGGTAAGGTTGAACCAAGTGGAACCGAACTATAAGTGGAATCGAAAGCTAAGGTGGAATCGAGCGGTAGGAATTTAAGATTTTGAATTCTGACAAAATAAACAACTTTATTTCATTATTTTATATTTTTGGAAAAATAAGGCGTGATACAAGAGCCCATCAAAATTGCAAAAGATTATTTTAAAGTTTTGTTTAGACTAATTATCTTAGTTGGTAAAGCATGGTATATAATTCGATTTGTCTATTACATATCGAATTTAAAATATTTTTATTATTAGTTAAATCATTAATATTTGAAATCCACGCAATTTTCATCTAAGCTTTTTTATAACAGTAATTTGCATTTAAGTTATATCTACTCCGCCAATTTTGTCAATAAAGTTAACTATTATACGTTACGGCATTTATTTAAAGGACAAACCAAAAAAGTCAAATTGCAGCATCTCCAATATTATTAATTTTAGATATTTACAATAAATATTTTTGTTTTACATTAAAATGTTTTAAAGGATTTATACATTTTCATATAAAGTTATTCTATTAATAAAAAACATAAACAGTTCATACACTACCTTTTTCATTTATACTTAAGTTTGTTTTAAAATGAAAATATTAATTTCATGTTTTTAGCATGTATTTTCTCAAGATACAAAGCTTATTTTCAAAATATCCTCTATATTATATACCTAAAAAAAATAATATATTTTAAAATAAACTAAAAAAACTGCCGTTAAAGATGGTATAAGTAGATACCCTTTTCCTTCCCTTTCCGAAGGGGAAAATGTGCAGTCACCACTTTGAGGTCCACTGCTTGAATTTAGCAAATAAAAGGTCATTGTCTTATAACTCGACTCAAAAGAATCAGCTTGTGTTTGAAGTTCATAAAAGAACTCATGGAGGTGCAGCAATGGTGGAGGATCAGATTCTCCTTCAGGAGTGCAACCATGATGGTGTGTTTCCTCAACGTAATAACTGCAATCTTCTTGCTTCATACTTTTTTCACCTCTGCCTACACCCGCAACAAATTCTCCTATGCAAATTCGTACTCAGGCTAGTCGTTTCTGTCTAATTTTTCTCTTTTTTCGTGGAAAATTTTACTCTTTTAGTTGAATTGGCTATGGGTATTTATTGATTTCGTTAATCATGTCCTAAAGTTGAGTTTTTTTGGGAAAAGATTGTAGCTTTTTGCGTGATTGATTGGATTAAGGGGAAAGGGGGTGGTGTGAGTTTTTTTGTTCGTATGATTTTTGAATTTTTTTATTTTTTATAGACTGTGATTTGGGGCATTCTTAAAAATTTATGATTTTTGTATCTGGTGGTTCTTATGCCTTAGAATTGTGAGTTTGAGCTGTCATGGCTGTGTAATGTACTGTTGTTTAAAATCAGATGATGGATTTCTTGCCAAGTGTTTGTCATGCTTTATTTGCTTATTGTCCAGAAAAATATATGAGTGTTGTTCATAGTTTTCTCATATTATCTTTGTTGGTGGTCCTTCAGTGATGGATGTTTGAACTTGTGATTAGTGTCTGAATTCTGTGAGATGGGTTTGGATTTGAACCGTTGCATGTTACGAGAGAGAAAGATACAAAACCAAGTTTAGTTGATTCCATAAATAATAATTTGTGTTGCTGTAATTGGTAGTGATTTTCTTCTGTCTCATAATAAGATAAAAAGTGAGACAAAAGCATGACATGATCGGGGTTCAGATTGGTGATTTATGATGACAAAAGCCCGTTACTGAAGGATCATAAGGATAAAAGAAAACAAAAGCATCCTTCAAGAGAAAAATGAAATCATTTCAGTTTTGAACTTTTGAGCAAAACTGTTATCTTACAATGATACTGATTCTACTTTTGAAATACCTATAATAGACTGGTAGGGATATACTGGGAAGTTTTTATTAAACTTGCTTGAATCATATGTTCCTAATTTTAGTTTCAATTTTTTAATTGCAGCTCAACTCAGGTACATTAAGGAATCTGAAGAGATTCGACTTGCCTTGCTACCTGTAGAGCTGATAAAAAGAGTGAGTTTGGAATTAGTTTTGTTCACTATATTTGTTATTTATATGGTTGATGCACATTAATCATGTTGAAGATGCCAATAGTATAACTTATAAATGGAATACTGTTAGGATTCCAAGTGTGAGTCTAAGTCCCACATAGATAAACATACAATATAACAGTCCATGCATTTTTTTTTTCTGGCAAGCTGTGATATTTGTACATTGGGAAACGTATACCTGAAGTCTATCCAGCAAATATGGCTAATGATGAGTGTAAATATAGTTACATTTGTTTCACATGTAGTTAATTATTAATAATCATTTCAATGACTTCGTAATATTATTAACCGCTTGTGGCTTGTGGGGCGAGGCTAACTACTATTAGACTTTTCAGTGTTAATCACAGTTGACGCAATTACATCCCTTTATTCTTAACACTTGTGAAGCAAAGTAAATATGACTACATATATGGTTAACCACTTGTGATAGACAATAACCTTTTGACATTGTTAATTACTTGTAAATCAAAGTTAACCATCATTAAATATTTCAATAATATTGTGACACTTCTAATGATATATCATGACTCTCCTAACCATTTATAAAACAAAATTAACCATACTTTTAGTATAATTAAACATGTTTTCAGGTGGAATTTGGGTGGATAAGATGGAAGTGGACGTTTTCCTTTGTGACAAATTGATAGTTTATTTCAGAAGTTCTGGAACCAATCTCGACTTTGTTGTGGTTTTCAATTCACTCTCTAGTTGGAAAACTGGGAGGAGCTCATCTCTCAAATTATTCACAAACAAACTTTTTTATTCACTAGCCACTTGAAAGCTTTATCTCTCTGTCTTTGCATGTCCAATATTAACACAAATTAAGATATACTTTCTTAAACTCAGTTTCTTGGACAATGCTCAAGTTTTTATTCTTTCAGCCAAATCACTCTATTTTATCATTTATTTTCCCTTTTAGTTTTTGTGATCATACAGCGATGAGACTTCATTCCAGGTCATTAACTTTATTGCTCTCTGTTGTGTAAATCTGTGTTTTTCCTGAGCATATTCACCAGAGTAATATAAATTGTAAACTTTTAGTTCTTCAATGGGTCATGTTAGTACATGCAGCCATCAGTGATATGCATAATCATGTTCATTATAATCAGATACTCGTTTAGTCATTAACTTAAAATTGCCCTAACTCTAATTTTTAAAAGTTAGAGATCACAGTATTCTTTAGAGATCAAGGTCGTCTTCTTCATGTTTGGCCTTGAATTGCCTTGAAAAGTTGGCAGTCCCAATATTTCAATAGCCTGACAAAATATCAGTATGCTGCTTACTTTTCCACTGCAATCATATCTCTACAGTGTGTGAGCCCTAGGCATACATATCTGGAAGAATTTATGTACTATGATAGTGAGGAAAAGTTTAAACTTTTGGTAGCCAAGGTTTTTTTCTCAATTGTTACAGTAATCTGCTCTTGTAACTTCTGGTATATATATTATTTAAAAATACGTTTTTCTATAAATCTGAGTGTCTTCCTTTTAGGTGAAGGAGATTGAGCACGAAGTATACACTGAACCAGAAACAGCGCAGAAGAAAGACACAAAGCAGACTGCTGCTGTTGATCTGTCTAAAAGGTTAAAGGATTTCCATTCCTTGAATGATGCTGCCAGCTTGAAAGGTGTTTCTCTTTTCTCCTGACAAACCTATAAACCCATCTCAATCATAACTTGCTTTTGTGTACAAATACACTAGAAACTCAGTAAATGTGCATGTTCATTATTTCTCTATTGTCATTTGTCCATAAAATAATTTATCGGTTAAGTTTTCCAGGGAGTGTTAATAATGTTTTCAATTCTGTTATATTTTGAATTTCGGATTATCATAGTGATTGAACAACATTTGTTAGTTATGTGAGGATCCTTCATTAACACTTCTTTTGACATGGACATGATTTGAATTTAAAGATGTTAAACTATAAGAAATAGAGAGTTATTGAGCTGAAACAATGTGTTTCTGAGACATGAGTGTATTATTCATATTGAGAAAATGAAATCAGTAAGATAAATAGAGGAGATATGGTATCATCTAATACGAGAGTAAATAAAAAACATTCCTAATAATTCATGTGTCAGAATATGTGAATTTATTGCACAATTAATATAGCTATTATGTGTAACCCTGCAATTATGTGTAATCCCTAAAATTAAGGGATTAGGATTAGTAATTATTGGGCAGATTTCCTTTTATTAAGATCAGGTATTATTGGGTAGATATCTCCTAATTTAGAGACTTTATTTCAGGAGATTTTTTACCTTAATTAGACAATAGTTTGTTTCTTTTTAAACACCTATGTATTGTTTCAAAAGCATGAATGAGAGAATAATTAATTCCAGAATCCTACTACTGTTTTACAACATGGTATCAGAGCTCTAGGTTTTTCCTGGAGCCTTGGTCTTTGTTTTTTGTCTCACGGCCTTCATTGCCGTTCCTCAACTATTGCTGGCCTTCATTGCCATTCTCGTCCAAAAAAAGGGGCAGCCTTAATTGCTGCTGTTATTCTTTCCGCTGTGTTAACCTAACATCCGATTACAATGTC